TATGTATGTATGTATGTACATAATATGTATCTTCCCATGGAGCAATGAACACACGTAAATACAATACAATGTATACATGCATGTATGTATGTATATGTATGTAGTTTTTGCAGATGTACATACATACATATGTTTGTATGTACTTCAGATTTATTATTTACATATACATATGTATGTATGTATGTACACATATATATGTATATATATATACAGACATACATACATAAGTAGATACATACATACATACATACACATGTACATGTTTATGTAGGTTTGTATGATAACAACGAATCTTTGGAGTTATTTTCATTTGGGTTTCTGCACACGAGTTGATTTAGTTGAGTTTCTGTTTATTGCCAGCTCAGCATTTTATTGTTCCGACACGATTCTGCTCGACTTTGATGCTGTCTGAGCAGTGTGCCACGCCCACCTGCTCGTCTTGGCGCAGGCAGTTTAATAAACGTTTAACGAACGCTACTCAGCAACCGCAGTGGCAGCTCCAGCTCCAACTTCAGCTGTAGCCCCAATCAAACGCACGAGCAGGAGCAGGCTTGAGCCGGAATTGAAGTTGCGGAGACATGTTTGCAATCATGATGATCTCTAGCCGTGGTAAATTGCATGCACGCCTTTTTAACCCAAATATGATGTGCTGCCTCTCGCCGCTGCCTCTCGCCCTCTCTCTGTCTCTCTCTCTCTCTCTCTCTCTCTCTTTCTCTCATGCGAGTGGGGCCGATAAGCTGACTTCGCGTGCTTTTATTATTATGGGGCAACGAGCGAGCGCGGCTCCATGGATTAATGAGTCGCGATCTGGCAGCGGCTGGCAAAACGTTTACGTGACTGAATTTTCAATTATTTTTTATTGCACTACTGCGGCCGCCTTTAATTGCAGGAAGTTGCATTTTGAGTGTGCAATTTATTAAGAAATTATTTATTGTCGAATGAAATTGATTTCGAAAGTCGCGTGACGAGAACTTTGTTCATATGTACATGTATGTATGTACTATGTATGTATGTATGTATGTATGTAAGTATGTACAATGTGTGTGTGGCAGTCAGGCAGTCAGGCAGTTAAGCAGCCACGCGGCTGCAATCGACTGCCTGGCTGCACATAATTAGGCAACATAGCTGCAACGATCTGCGAACGTGGCACATTTGTGGCCTTTCCACATGACTTCTAACACCTAATCGGTGCGCACGATCTGGCCATGCGGGGATGCTCTGCATTTGGCCAACAGACGCCTCGATTTCCTGCCACGCCCACTAGTGCTGGCAATTAATTTGATTTGATGGCTGCGGCTGCCTTGCCCTGCCCAGTTGCGGCTCTCTAGCTCATTGCCTGCTTTCAAAGTGCAACAGTTGTGCACGTTGCACGCTGCACGTTGCGATCTGCAAACGGTTCTGGCCTCGCCGGCGTTGAGTAATTGACTGCTTTGATCTCCGGCCCAGGGTGACGCCCGCTGCAAGCGGCTCCCCCTATAAATAGGCGACCCTCTGAAGGCACTTTGAAGTGCACTAGCATCTAGATATGTATGTATGTATGTATGTACATATATATGCACACATATGTACATATGCACATATATTTGAATATTTTCTGATTGCATGTTTGTCATTGCATTCAATAGAGCTTTTTTTCTTATACAGTGATGGCAAGCAGTCAGCATACACCATCCGCTTTTCGATATGTACATACATACATACTTCGGGTTTTCACAATGACAATAAAAAGCGAGGGCATGGCAATCGTAGTTATAGAACATTAATATTATTTCCATGTAAATTTGCTAAACATAAATTTTAGCCTGTTGAATTTTGGAATTTAGTATTTTATAATTTTCTATACAGTGCACAATAATTATTTAATTAAACTTAAAGTACTTTGCTTGTTTTTTCGCATAAGTTATTTTTTTTATTATATTATTATTTGGTTTTTTTTTCTTTTTAAAAATATGTATGTGTAATTTAATTGAGTTAAGCTAATTATTTATTGAAATAAAATCGAGTACCATCATTTACATATGTACATACATGAGACATTATCATGTCCTAAAATCACGATTCAGCTCATTTTTTTGGTTGTCCTCCCAGCTGGAAGAAGCCGATTTTCCATTGTGGTTATTCCCCGATCTTTTACTTGAGCTCAATGAGACAACAGATCTTATGTTAATGTGTTGCGGGGGTTTTGTTCGCTAAACACATCGATAGTGCGAGTGTGTGACGAGTTTTTGTCTTATTTGCTAACTGGTTGAGCGTCTCTGAGTCACGCGAATAGTTCCATTCAAGAAGCTCAACGGAAAGCCCAAGCCGAAAAGAACTCAAGTCTTTTGCTCAGTTAGTAAACTCACGATTATGATTACTTTCGATTGATCTCTCGAATAGAGTGTAAAGAATCAAACAGTCAACTTTCATATGCATGCTATGAATGATACTGTACATACATAAATATGTTAAGACTTTGCATATTGTGACTTGGAAGCATCAGGAACTCATCCATTAATCTTTTACTTTAACTGTATTTACTTATTTTAAATTTGAGTAATAATATACATATATATTTTTATTTCTAATTGATAGTTTAAATCAGCTTTTACTCTTACCCTGACTGCCTCGCAAAATGGTGAGCCACGCCTACGAGTTTTACCTCTTCTCTTGTTTCCCGCTGGCTGCTCCTCTTCTTCTTCGTCTCTTTGCGTACTTCAATCAAAATCAAGTGCAGACCTCGTCTGAAAGCGAAAACTTGCATGGAAATTACACGCACCAAACACACAAACTAATTTTCCAACAAATTAGACGCGCAGAGAATATCCACAGCCACCCCTAGCCGCCACCCCCCAATCTCCCATTCCTGTTCATAATTTATTTGCTGTTGTTGTTTTTTTTTTTTTTGTTTCCTTTGCGCTTTGGCTTTCTCTGTTAAGTTCCCATGGAAAAACTTTGCTTTGAACATGGCAGGCGAGGGCGGAATGGGTTGGTAAGGGGAACGGGGGGGCATGCTTGATTTTGGCGCATGATAATTGGGCGAACGGGCGCTTGGCCCGTCGTCTGTGCGTGAACCATGCATTGCGTTTCTTTTAGTGGCCATCAAGTGCTCGAAACCATAAAGAGAATGGGCTTGGATCGGGCTCAGTTCGGTTGATGGCGGTAGAGGGGAGCCTCGCTTCTTGGTCTGCACTTGATGCGAGTGAGCGCTGACGCACTTCGCTGCACAGGAGATGCCGCAGACAAGGCGGCATATTCGCAGCCAGGTCACGTGACCTTAATTAGCCAAAAAAAAAAAAGAAAAAGGGAAATACCAGAGAAAAGTCAGTTGGAAAAGCGGCTGTCGAAAATGTCTTTGGCGCGGTAATTGTGCGTGGCATGTCAAGGGTTCGCAGCTTGAATCGACTTGAAGTTGCCTTTGTGCCATTGTCGACCACTACAATAGTCTTTGTTTGCCTTTGAAATGCTTAAGCACACACTCACACACACACACGCACGCACACACGCACACACTTATATGATCGGGGCTTCCAGGAACTGTGAAATTGCCTTCAATTGCATTTGACTTTAAATCACTCGCCGCACGGCAATCATTTAATTGAGTTGCATCGCAATGACCCTTGCCCCACTGTACTTGCTGCATTCACTGTTTCTGCTGTGCTTCACTGTACCGCATTGCCAGACAGTTGCAAAAGCTACAAAGTTACAAAACAAAAAAAAAAAAAAAAAGCAAAAACGTAATAAATTTCAATTATTTACTTAAATGCACATTAAAATAAATTCCCAATGGC